GGTCACTCCTGGATGTCACAGTGATCAATCTGGCTGCTGTGTTTTGAACTAACTGAAGTTACCGAACTTGGTACAGAGGTAGCCCAAGTACAGAGCATTGCAGAAGTCCCATCTTGAGGTTACCAGTGTGTGCACTATCACCTTTAGGCAATCCAGCTCTAGGTAGGGGCGCACCTGATATATTAGCCAAAGCTGATAGTAAGCACTCCTGACCATTGCATCTATCTGAGCTGTCATTTGAAGCAATGGATTCAGACGCATCCCCAAGTGATGAACACAGTCTTTAAGAGGGAGTGTAAACCTATCCATGACTGATTGACACCCACAAACCCAGGTCAGGACCTTTGAGAATAAGCATTGCTGTCTTGTTTGGATTAAGCTTCAATTTGTTTTTCCTCAACCAGCTCATTACTTCCTCCAGGCATTCATTCAGAGAAGACACACTATCCTTAGCTGAGGCTATATTTGAAGGCCTGGAAAATATATTTGGGTGTTGTCAGCATGCTTATAGCACCCCTCCCCATGCCTCCCGATGATCTCTCCCAGAGGTTTCATGTAGATGTTGAATAGAATTGGGGATAGAATGGCACCTTGTGACATAGCAACCCTTTTTTTTTTGAGGAGCAGCTATCCCCGAACACCACAATCTGGATCCTGCCTGGGAAGGAGGACAAGAACCACTGAAGCACAGTGCCTCCAATTCCCAAATCCTCTAGGTGTTCCAGGAGGATACTATGGTTGACTGCATCGAATGCTGCTGAAAGGTTCAAAAGCACCAGCAGGGACACATGTCAAGATTATCCACTAAGGTGACCATAGCAGTCTCAACTCCATATCCTGCTCTGAAGCCAGTTTGAAATGGGTCTAGATAATTTGTATCATCCAAGACTGCCTAGAGCTGGAAGGCAACTGCCTTCCTCATCGCCTTGCCTATAGTTGTTGAAGTCCAGGGGGTCCAGGGAGGTCTTTTTACGAAGTGGTAGCACCACCTCTTCTTTTAAAAGAGAATCTACTTTATAACTTTCTGGCTACTGCAAGCTCAGTCAAGAGAAGAAGCGTTACATTTTTTATTCACTATTTTAATAAATAAATAAATAAATAATGTTTGTCAGATTATTTTTATTTTCTATTGGAAAATAGTAGAATGAGCTGCTCAGGAGTGGATTTACCATCAGATGAAGAACATTTGCAACATCCAATAGATACAGTATCACAATGAGGACTATAGGTGTCTATAGCAATACTATAGACACTATAGCACATAGTGTATGCCCAAGAGAGAAACCAATAATTTCCCCTAATAATAATATAATACAGAGAAAATTGTAATAAATAAAAGAGATGCTCTGGGATGATAAAGTTGTTAAATGCTTTGAAGAAACATAGAATTGGCCATGTATAATTTCCTAGACAAAGGTACAGATTATATCATAAAGCTATTATATGGCTAATAACTATGAAACAACTGAAAAAAGTGTATACACATGTACAGATGCACACACAGATAGGTAACTCAGATTTTTGCTTCCTTTAAATAGGCAGAACAAAAAAAAACATTAAGATGGTGTCTAGCTAAGTTTTCAGAATACTGTTGTTATTAAAAAGATGATGAAAGAAAGATGACTTAGATTATGTGAACTCTGTGACTAGTTCTGCACATGCAGGGCATTGTTTATTTTTTTTTGACAAAATGTCAACACATCCCTTCTTGTCATATGGCAAACTGCTTTGGTTATGAAGATTTTCACAGGCTATATACTATATGACATTAATGGAGAGACTGCTCATGACATAAATCAACTTTTATTTGGCATACATTAAAAAAAGAGAAAAATAATTACACCTCCCCTGCAAAGGATTTCTAGATGGTATTCATGCATGTGCACACACGTGTGTGTGTGCGCGCGCACACATGTGCACACATAGACACAGACACAGATCAACTAGCTAATATGATAAAAATGATATAATATACATATACAAACTAATGAAAACTACTATGAAATTGAATGGCAAGAAAACTATTTCTGCCCAGGAAAAAAAAATTAAATTTAAAAATTTTAAATGCCCAGTTTAATAGAAAGGCCATCAGTTGTTTCCACATTCTGGTTAAGCAGACTATGAATAAAACAGACAGAAGCATTCACTAGCAGAAATAGTGCAATGGCAGATCACAGAAGAGAAGACAGATTTCAGGAAAATACAGTCAGCCTCTGTATTCATGGATTTTTATCCATAGATTCAAAGCAAAGCAAAGCAAAGCAGCTTATTTATATACCGCTTCATATCACGCTATGGGATGTCTAAGCGGTTTACAACTGTGAGCTGATTGCCCCCCAACAAGCTGGGTACTCATTTTAGCGACCTCGGAAGGATGCAGGCCTGAGTCGAGCCTCAGCCCTGGCTGGTATTGAACTCGCAACCTTGTGGTTTATGAGTGAGTGGCTGCAGTACAGGCATTTAACCACTGCGCTTAATAAAGATATTTTCAACTATCCACAATTTGAAAATATTCAAAAATAATACAAATTCCAGAAGGAAAAGTTGATTTTGCCATTTTATATAAGGGACACCATTTCACTATGCCACTGTATTTAATGAGACTTGAGCATCCACAGATTTTGATATCGACAGAATATCCTGGATCCAAACCTCAGCGGATACCAAGGGCCCACTTTACTTCTGTGAAAGATCTCACCAGAGAAATGAACAGGTTGCCCAGTGTATCTCATGTATATAATGAATCTATATAACTATAGATTGCACTCTGCGCAATTAGAGTGGGGAGTACAGTATAACAAAGCCACAATACTTAAGAGGTCACTGATACAACTAACAACTCAAAATATCTGCACAGTCACACACTGTTACTTTGTACACAGAACAGCTGCCAGTGGGTAGCCTTAAATTCTGATCTTATGGTTTACAAACAGAAGCTGTTGCCCTCAACAAGTTATTTTAAGTGTTCAAAATGTGGTTTATAGTTGCAACATTCTGGCCAAACTGATCTTCTGATTTATTTGCAAACAGACTAAAATGTATACGGTGTGAGGTCCACTGCCTGGGAGATCTGCTGAACTGCATGCAGCAAAGATACAGGAAGCAGGAAATTCATATGATAACATTCCTTGGCTTTTTAATTGCACTGAAAGTGAAATAAGTGCAAGGGGACTGGTAGCTAGATTTTTTTCTCCCCCATCATCACCTCTTACATGGTTTTTCTAAGTAAAAAAAACAAAACTATACTTGGTTTTTCTAAGATACAAAGTATAATGATAATATGATTCTATTCCACACTGGCTGTGCAGTTACAGTACCTCCTCTGCCAATAAGATTTGCACTAGAGAAGAATAAAGAAAATTAAATGAAACTTTTTTTTAATATATCAAAGAAAAAAGCTAAAAACACTTGTGCTTCTACATTACAAACACTACGGTGGCTAAGGAAATAATTTTCTCAAAACAGAACTGGGGCCATGCAGATACGCTGAATGATGAGAGATCTGTGACAGATAAATTTAATTACTTAATCACACAATGGAAACTGTTGAATTTGCTATCACTCATTGAAGTGATATTTAACAGTTGGCACAGACTTAAGTTATCAGAAAATATCATGGAGGACAAGGCTATAAACTGACTACTAGTCATGGTGGCTATATATTGCCATCAGTATTTAGTGTAACACATACTGGATTCCTTCATTTCATCTTCACATTTGGCTGGGTTTCCAGGATGCTTGGATAAACATCTGGCATGGGCTCCAAGCTTTCATTTGAAAAACACAACATATATCTAACCCTTGTAGGAAAAGAATTATGAGGTAAAATCTGTAGCCATTCCTCCATCTAACTATTTTTTGAGAAACAACCCCCACCCCATTATTGAGTGCGTACAGCCAATGTCTCACACCTTATGACTAGCATTTATTACATAGCCTCTCATAAGTCCAGTTTCAAGTTTCCAGAGTCAATGTTACAACTAAGCAGGAAAGTCTAGTTTTTCTGGGAAAGTCAGACTGAAATCTGTTTTTCAGAGTTCCTTGCAAAAGCTACTAAAATCAATGGAGACAGTGAAGTGAAGGTGCCGTGATGCTGCCCCCAGCCCACAAAAGAGAGTAAAAGCTGCAGTACAGTGATTAGCATTGAAGGTTCCATCAAGTCTATTGTTTTGCAGGGCTTGCTTGATGTAGTTATGCATTTTTCTTATTTGGGAATGAGAGGCACAGCTAAGGTGCAGGGTGATCCAAGAAAGGGAGAGCTGCAAATGCAGAGTAAGGAATGCATTGTGAATACATTAGGTGAGAAGGCAAGAGATAGGATAAAAGGTAGAGTATGGAGATACAAGGAGAAAAATATTGTACGGGCAAGCAGACTGCAAGAAAAAAAAAATGGCTTCCAAGTTTTGCCTCCCCCCCCCTCTGTTTTCCCCCCCTCTGGGAAGCAGATGAAAATCATTCTTAGGAGCTTCCTATGATATTTTCATAGATCTGTGTCATTTCCTCATCAATAAAAAATCTGAAGGAAAGAAAATACTATAGTAATCAGATGAGAATATCACTAGAAGTGATCATACATTTCTCCTCCTCCTCTATCACCACCACTGCTACCACCACTACTTCTACTATTGCTGTTGCCAACACCATAACACCAGGAATGCACACAGCCATTTTGCATTATTCCTGTCCCCACAACAACCCAATGAGGTAGATTTGATGAGAGACAGTAATGGCCCATGGTCACATGATAAATTCCATGACCAAAGAGGGATTTGATCTTGGGTTTCACTGTTCCAAATCCACCAATGTAAACATTACTTTAAACTCTATCAGTAGAATCTGTTGTTGTTGTGTGCCTCCAAGTCATTTCCAACATATGGTGACCCTAAGGTAAACCTATCATGGGAATTTTCTTGGCAAGATTTGTTCAGAAGGGGTTTACTTATCCCTTCCTCTGAGGCTGAGAGAATGTGGCTTGCCCAAGTTCATCAGTGGACTTCCATCGCCAAACGGGGATTTGAACCCTGGTCTCTAGAGTTGTAGTCCAACACTTATACCACTATACCGTGCTGGCTCTCATCAGTAGAGCAGTTATTATATAAAAAGTTACAAATGTGAAAATATAGTGCTAGGAAAGAAAATGTGGTTTGCAGAAAACAGTGCAACAATAATATGTTGAACATGCATAATTAGAATGCAAGTTAGTGTATGCATAGTTATAATTTGCATACTATTCAAATTAGATACCTAGCTTTGAGGAGCTAGAGTATGGCTATCCTATCCTGAAAACAACCTGCTTCTGCTATGAAACTGACTTATCTGAGGCCACCCCAGCTTCCAAGCCGGAACCAGACTGAGGGCTACCCAGTTTAAACCTAATGCTATTCTCTTATACTCTGGCTTAAAAGAAACCATGAGTTTAACATAACACTGACTGAACTAACCATTCTAATAGTCTTTGCTGTGCTGAAACACTTTTGGTTTTGTCTGGATTTTAGAAATAGTCCACCATTCCACACAAAAAGTAATGTTGGACTGGGAAGAGACTGAAAGTAGAATAGTCCTTCCAGAATGCCAGAGGTGATCTGACCCTAGGCAGGAAAGGTGCATCTACTACCTCAGTTGACCTTATGATTATTTGTTGGCCAAGATGGAAAGACTGTGGTGACTGGAGCTTTTGAAACACAGCAGGCAGAATGTATGGCTTACTGAACCATCTCCCATAATTCACAGGAACCCTGGACAAACGAGATACTTCATCTTCTCTGTCTCATTCCAATCTGTTCCAGAAGAAAACCTCAGTGCCTGTCCACACAGAGACTGCACCCCATGAGTCCTGGTTCTAATCTTAGGCCAAAAAGCTGCAAACTGAATTCTAAAGTCTGCAACAAAGAAACTTGAAGGCTGATTTTTCAACAGTCTGTATACAAGACAGTGTTTGCCTTTAATGCATTAAACATTTTCCACTAGTGGTTTACTAAAGCAGATTTAAATTTTCACTCAAAAAGTTAATCAATAAACTTGATTAACTTTGTAGAATAATATAGTTCCAAGAGCTGTGTGTCCCTACATTCAGTTGTGGCCACAGTACTTTGTTTCTTACTATATCCCTATCACTCATGCCTTTTTGAGATCATTGCCAAAGAAACAATTTCAGAACTTGTGTATTCATTAACTCAGAAGAAAAAAAAAGATTTACCAAATAAGTCAGGTGATGTTTTATTAGGTCATCAAGTAATTTTCCAGTTATAAAAGCTCACTGGAAATACACTTGGATACTGCTCTAAGCAGAAAGGTGTGTGCTTTAATTGCTCAAAACATTGTTGTTGTTGTGTGCCTTTAAGTCACTTCTGACTTTATAACAACCCTAAGGTGAAACTATCATGGGTTTTTCCTGGCAGAATATGTTCAGAGATTTGCCCTTGTCTTCCTCTGAGGTTGAGAGAATGTGACTTGCCCAAGGTCATACAGTGAGTATTCATGGCCGAGCAGTGATTCAAACACTGGTTTCCAGATTCCATGCTCAAACCACCACACCATGGTGGCTCCCTATCCCCAGCAAAATAAATGAAGCAGTAAAATACTATCCCCAGTAAAATAAAATGAATCTTCACCCTTTGGATAGGGTAGAGATTTAGATGTTTAGTCTCATTTCCAACTCTGTCTACAAATCAACTAGCTGTCTTTTCAGTAATTTTATTTATTGTGGAATTATAAAGCCCTTTTCTCTAATAGCTTCAAAATGGTATACATAATCCTTCCTCCTGCATTTCATTTTCATAACCCTGTGAGAGAGATTAGGCTGAGAGAGACAGAGACTGGCCCAAGATCACCCAGACAGCTTCAGATTTTCCCACACAAAATACTGATAACCATGAGTCTATGAGCTAAAATTTTACATTATAAATAAAAAGCTAGATTTTAATGTAGATAAAAGCTGAGAATATTTGTATACAGCAGGGGTCCCCAAACTACGGCCTGCAGGCTGGACCCGGCCCGTCGAGGCTTTCCTACCAGCCTGTGGCCGTTCCTGCCGCTGACGCCGCCGCTGCTCACGCCCGCTGCCGGATGCCATTTTGACTTCCAAAATGGCATCTGCAGTCGTGAGCATGCGTGCGGTGTCACACACGCATGCACACTACTCTGAGCGCCATTTTGGAACACAAAATGCCTCCCGGCATCGCGCATGCATACGCATGACTCAGGTGCCATTTTGTCTTCCAAAATGGCACCCAGAGTCGTGCGCATGTGCCTCCGGCCCTCCAGAAGATCTGGGGGCCAGCAAACCGGCCCCTGGATCAAAAAGTCCGGTGACCCCAGTATACAGTATGTGCAATATTTTACTACAGTTGTCCTTCCCTATTCGTAAACTTGAAGTCCGTGGTCTCACTTTTTGCAGGAGGCACAAGTGGGGAGGAATATAATGACAGCATGCACCTGTGCACTCCCCATTATTTTAAATGGGGCTCCAATATTTGTGAGCTGCCATTTTCACATGGGGGGAGGTCTGGAATGGACTCCCCACAAATTGGGAGGTGCTACTGTAATCTCAGACTTCACTCTGATTGGAAAGTGAACTTGGAATGTTACTTTTTAAAAAGTAATTACATTATTGTTTTGCAGGCGTGGATTTGTTCTACTTACATTTTTTGAAAGTAATGTTTTACTTTCTCACTACTGAAAAATATCTATACATTGAACTATACTGCATGAGCAACAATGAAGTTATTATGGAAAATGAGGGGATATCGTGAAGTAATAATTATCACCCGGAAGTTATTATGGTATATTGATGAAATTTTGTCAGTGTCATCATTGGTCCTTAAGTGCATGATGTTGAGAAAAACAACTCATTGTGTCCTTTATTTTTGTTACAGATTGTGCCAGAAGTGACTGAAGTGTAAAATGGAGAAATATAAGGGGGTATTGTAAAGTAATAATGATCACCTGGAAGTTATTATAGTATATTGATGAAATTTTGTCAGTGTCA